GGGAGGGATAAGGAGGGGGAGGCACTGTCTGGGGAGGGATAGGGAGGGGGAGGCTCTGGGTGGAGAGGGATAGGGAGGGGGAGTCACTGTCTGGGGAGGGATAGGATGGGGTGCTGCAGGAACTCTCACTGGGAGTCTGTGTTTGAAGAACAGCAGCTGTGAGCAGAGGCTGTTCTCCCCAAAGGGTGACCCTCAGGTTGGAACTCAATGCAAAATGGAAATGCAGGCCCCCTTGTTTAAGAAATATGCAAGAATTTACGAATTTTGGCAGGACTCTAAGCCCACCTCAGGTCATTCTAAGTGACAGGGCGGGTCCCATGTCCAAGAAGGAGGCCGGGTCTTAGGACCTCCAGTGCAGAAGGCAGTTCAAGGGACCCAGATGGTCCTTTAAATGTGGAGGGACTGCATGGCTCTCTGTCACTTCCCAGCTGGGGGGATCCTGTCTGGTGCTCCAGGGGCCCTGCAGAGACGCCAGTCTAATAATACCCCACACTGCAGTGCCACGCGCTCTCCTGCTCCACCCCTTGGCACTTATCTCAGCGCCTCACACCAGAGTGTGTGCTGCAGACGCCAGGGGGCCACTCCGACCTGCACTTCCTCCACCTTGCTTTGGAGTTTACCCGAAGGCCATGAGCCGACCTCCCTAGAGCAACAAACCATGGTTTTACCCTTGTCTTTTTCTTTTTAAAAATCATTTTGGGAGGTGAGGGCTCGTACAACTCATCACAGTCCATCCATCCATCCCTTGTGTTGAGCCCATTTGTATATTTGTTGCCCTCATCATTCTCAAAACATTAGCTTTCTACTTGAGTCCTTGGTATCCACTCCTCATTTTTACCCCTCCCTCCCTTCCTCCCTCCCTCATGAACCCTCGATAAATTATTATTATTTTCCCCTTGTCATTTTTAAGGCTGTGTGTTTAGTTTTGTTTGGGGCGATGGTTCCTGGCCTCAGCCATGACTAGAAAACCTGACTGTACATGAGTGATCCTTTGATCTTACTCATGGGACCCACTCCCCTCCCACTGCCTCACCAGAAGAGGGGTGTAGGGGCCCACCCTGACCGCTCTGCTGGAACCCCTGTGCTGCGATGCCCCCCATCTTCCCCGATGCTGGGAGTCTCTGTCAGCTGCTGTCCAGAGCTTCCCCTTGCTTCCAGGCCTTGCTTACTCTGCACCTTGAGTCACGCCCTCCTCTTAGGATCACAGGGAACCCTCCCAAGGCTTCTGGGGCAGCGACGAGGGGACCCTTCTGAGAAGCACAGATGGAGAACTCTGAGTGGAACCCAGCAAGGACTTGATTGACGCCTTGCCCAAAGGGTTCCGGCTTCTGTTTGGTCCAGAATACTGCCTTCGCCCACCTGCTCCACTCTGACTACAAAGGGGGCTCAGGGCTCATCCTAGGCACTCTGCTGTGGACGCGACTCCCATGCTCTGGTGAACGCTGGGCGCTGCCTCGCAGAGCCAACCACGAATGCCACCCCTCCAGGCCTGGCCTTGGCCGCAGTGACCTCCTCGCATGGACTGGGTGCATTGACTGAGCTGCTGGGCGCCCGCGGTGGGAGTGTGGATACCAGGTGGTGCTCCCCCTCCCGCCTCCCCGAGCTGAAGAAATGGCCCCTCTCCTTCCCCAGTATTTCTTCCCCACCAAGATGAGGGGTGATGTTGTTGTGCTACGAACAACAGCACTGGCCCCTCGGGAAGCACACATGTTCAAAGCCTCTGTTCTGGAAACGGTAGTAGATGAGGGAGCTGCATCGGAGCCTGCCTGGCGGGGCCGAGTGGAGGATGCCTTTGATCAGCAGGCGGAGCCCCACAGTACACACACACACACACACACACACACATACACCTGGCCCTGGTGACCCTGTGGCTATCCTGGGAGCGGTCCTTCGTCTCTGTGACTGATGTGAGATTGATGACAGTAACTCCCAACCGGCCGGCTGCCCCCAGTGTGGACATGTTTGTTTGCTGACTGTGAAAGCAGCCTCTGTCTGATTGATACTCCTTGTGCCCCCACCCCCATCCCTGCAAGAGGCTCGTGGACACTCTTAGGCCAATGTGTGCTTTCTGTCCCCGACAGGGTCCCCGGTGGCACATCGACCTCCAGCCCTGGGCAGGCCCCTCGCAGTCCCTGGATGAGGAAGCCGTGAGGTTCCTGAGATACATCAGCACCCCTCAGGTAGTGTGCCAGGTGCCATTGGGCCTCCAGAGTTTGCAAAAGATGCATACAGCGCCTTTCAGAGCAGGGTCTTGTCAGGACGAGGGGTGTGGGGGGGTGGGACTTGATTTCTAAAGTCTTGCTGCTTCAAAGTCCAGCATCTCCATCCTTCTAAGGGTATGGCCATCCCCAAATGTTTCAAAACCCCCCCTCCCCCAAAGCACCCTAAAGATCCACTTTAGAAAACTGCTGTGGAAAATCCTTTGGAGTAACAGATTCATCCCTGTGAACAGGCAGTCAAGTGTGGGAGAAAGCACCAACCAGGAGGCGCAAGCCGCCTTGTGAATTGGAGAAGGAATCTGCCTCTTCCCTTTCTTGCTGCAATGCCTGGCAGACAGGTGTGCTGGGCAAGAGGGCAGGGACTTCGTCAGCGGTGGCAGGAGAGGTTAACATGTCCAAGGCTGTCTACGCTCAGCATCTTTAACCGTTACTGCGCACCGCCAGCTGTGATTAGTGACAGCCGTGGTGGCAGCTCCTGCCTGTGCCAGGGCCTGCGCAGACCTTCAGGAGGGTCCAGGGCACTTGACACCGTAGTCAGGCGGTTCTGTTCTCCGGTTGTGTCATCTTGGTTGGGGAAGGAGGGAGAGCTAAAAGAAGGGGGTGGAGGCTCAGGGAAAACTGTATCCAGCACAGCCCCGTTTGGGAAACCAGGCTTGTGAATCTGGGCCATCGCTGGCCTTCCGGGGCCCTTTATAGCCCCCCTCCCACTCGCCCCCCAAACCTGGTGGTCAGTCGGCAAAGCCCCGATTTCCATTCACAGGGCCCACCTCTCGGCCCATAGGAGGCTAGTTTAGGGGGGAAAGAAAGTAAAATTTGGCTGAATGTATCATGAGCAATGGGCTGATAAATTGGTCCCCGTGTTTCACATAATTTCATCGTACTTTGCTGTTGCAAATTAATTTGCCAAACGTTTACAGACTTAATTAAAATGCTGAGGTGCGTAATCTCTATAGGTCTATTATTTGAGAGGTTGGTTTTCCGTGGCATATAAAAAGCTGGACCTCTGAACTGGGACTTAAAGAAAAGCCCTAAGAGGCCCCAGAGAAAAATGAGAGGTGTTGGAACTGATGAATTAGATTTCTGAGCTCTGGGTGCCTCCCTCCAACATAAATTTACCACACACAGGCCACCCCAGCCCCCAGTTCTCTTTTCTGTGAGCTCCGGAGTCATAGTCTGTAAGTTGTAAAAGGCATCTTCTCAGAGAAGATGCTCTTGAGGCACAAACAGGGGCCTTTTGAGCCCCTCCTGGGAGCTTCCCTCTGAATTGTGGGCTGAGAGGAGAAAAGCCAGCAGCAATCCCAACAATAAATAAATAAAGGTTACAGTTTGATGTCGGAGCCCTGGGCAGTTTATTTTGTTTCTCCGACTCACTGTTTTGATCCTGAAAAGCAAGAGATGGTTTGAAATTATTTTTAAGGCCCTATGTTAGGCAGGGTTCTCTAGAGAAACAAAACCAGGACACACACACACAAAGGTTTATACAGCAAGAAGGAGTATAACAGCTCATCAGTCCACACAGCAGTACAGAGAGCTCAGTTCAATTTACTATCCTGGAACAGTTACCGGAAGTTTTTCAACTCACCTGAGCTCCAGTCCAAGGTCAAGGAAGCAGACGGAGGAGTCTTCCCCCAGGCAGGACAGGCAGAGTGTGCCCGCAGGCAGCAGAGAGCAGGGTGCGTCAGCCACAGCCAGTAGCTCAGGAACTTAGCGGAGCAGGCCTTGATGGGATCTTGAACTCAAGAAATGCACTGTCATAGGCTCCACCAGCCTCAAGCTCAAGTGATGAAGCAGGTCTCAGAGGAGCCTCAGGCTCTAGTGACATGATCCACGCGGCTTGGCCCACAGTAGTGCAGCACACTCGCTCAAGCAGCAGCACACTGGTCCGATCACCAGGCAGGAAGAGAAGAGATGGGATACCAGCTGTCTTTGCTTATCTCTGTCCCCCTACAAGCAAGCTGAACCCTGATTAAAATCCGCCCACATGTTCCTATTGGCCTCCTTGGCACAATCAACCTAACCATCACAGGCCCTTTTTGTTGGGCAGGCTGTATGGTGCTGAGGATGGACACCAGCCACGTCATGCTGAACACCTTGCAAGTGCCAGGAACTATGCGAGGCCTTGGGGACACAGTCTGTCCTCAAACAAGCTGGGGAGGATGGTAAATGGTACAGCAATTATTATTCAACTCCGTGTGTTTACACGAGGGAGTGGGTTGTTGATTTTCTCTAGAAGGGGGTCATTTTATTCAGATGGAAAACTCACTGGCTGCGATCGAGTCAGTTCTGACTCATAGTGACTGGGTAGAGTTGCCCCTGTGGGTTTCTGAGACTCTTTGTGGGAGGAGAAAGTCTCTTTCGCCACCCCCCCACAGAGCAGCTAGTGGTTTTGAATTGCTGGCCTTGTCGTTCGCAGCAGCCCAGGATGCCACTCAGCTCCAAACCAAACTCACCGCCTTCGAATTGATGCTGACTCATAGTATCAGACAGGCTTTCCAAGACTATCACTGTGCTGGACAAAGTCCCATTTACTCCCTCAGTCTGGCTGGTAGTTTCAAACTACAGCCCTTGAGGATCACAGCCCGATTTGTGACCACTGTGCCACCAGGGCTCGTCGTATCCAGGCAGAGGACGGCCCTTTCCTGTACTGCCAGGTGCGTAGGAGGCCAGCAGGTGGGAGCCCGTCAGAGATGACCCGGGCTGGGTCTTGGTGAATCCGAATCTCCCACTCACCAGTGCCTCGGTCTTTCTCCCGATGGCGTGCAGGGCTTTTCAGCTGCCTTTGTCGCTGTGCCGCACTTGGCATTCACCTTGGCAGCTAAAGACTGCAGAGTATTAGAGTTCCTGTTATGTCAAGCTCTCAGTTCGCAGCAGTGAGTCATCCTGGGCGGGGGAAACACACACACACACACACACACACACACACACACACCCCTCAGAAGGCGCTCAAGTGAATTTCACCCCATGCTTGTGTGCTGCTCTGAAAAGAAAGTATTGATTTCCCTCAGACCTGTGTTCAAGCTTGCCCAGCAAGGCCCAGCGTTGGCTCTGCTCACATCGATTTCTTCATTCCTCACTTCGTGAAATCCTCGTGGAGCCCCAGTCTGCGGCTGACGCAGAGCCAGGCCTTGGGAAGTCAAGCCTGTATGAGCTGCAGACTGCTAGCGACCCTGTAGGACAGGTTAGAATGGCCCCTGAGGATTTCTGAGACTGTAGCTCTTTATGGGAGCAGAAAGCCTCATGTTGCTCCCATGGAGCAGCTGGTGGTTCTGAACCGCTGACCTTGTAGTTAGCAGTCCAATGAGTAACTGCTACTCTATCAGGGACACCCACCCACACACACATAAACAGCTAGGGTGCAAGGGAAGCCACGTGGTCTGGGGAAGGCTCCCGAGGCTGGGGCAGCTGGGAACAGGGCACAGCTGTCCCTTGGGGCTGTACAGACAGCGTCAGGCTGCACTGGGAAAGGTGGTCTAGGCTTATGTAGCCTGGTGCCCCTATGGCATGGTTGGGCCCTGCATTACTTAATGAGACACAAAAGACTGCACTGAGGCATTTGAGAAGGGCGTGGAGAGCCTCGGCACCAGTTTAACTAGGTATCAGTGTCCTCGAACATCGGGAAAGCTGTCTCCAAGTTCTGGAGTCGCAGATACACCGCCTGCTGCCGACGAGGAGCGGTGGAATCACCAACCCAGTGCGGTGTTCTGAGGGCTGGCTTCAGCAGCAGCTTTGTGGCTCCCCCGAAGCAGATGCTGTCAGGAAGCGTGCCTGCAATGTGAAATTAACCTAAGCTATGGTTGCCGTTTTCACACTGAAGGAAGGAAAAGAAGTTTAAAATCAACCTCTCTACCCATCTATCTGCCTGTACCTCCCTGCCCGCCCCTCCACACGAAATTGGGACTAAAGCAATGAAAATACATCTTTCAAAAGAATGGGGCTGCCTGAGCAGACGGTTGATCACCGAGGCAATTCTTGTCACCACCACCACCCCACACACACATTTTGAGGGCTCCCTCTGCCAGGTCCCACTTTGAGTCTGGCACATGCGCCCTTTTGGAATACAAAAGGAGGCAGAAATAAATCAAGATGCCTTTCAGTTAAATTGCTACGAAAACATCTCAGGAAACATTTTCCCTTCTCCGTGTGTTTTCCCTCGTCCCAGCCCAGCGTGATGCGGGAGGGGGGTGGGGTGTTGTGAGCGGGAATGGAATGACTTGGGTTGGAGCTTAGCTAGCAGTTGCTAGCCCTCACTTACTTTGCTTGCTTGAGAGTTTATTGACATCTGGGTCGTAAATCTTAACCAGGAAGTGTTGGAAAAAATCAATATTTAATTAGTTTTTAGGAGCAGCACTTTACTGGGTACTCCAAGTTGATTTCAGAAGCTAATGCCTACCAGGGAGGTGGGTAAGGGAAGTTAAATAAGCAGGGGACAATCGCTGTGTTTGGTTTTGGAGCGAGGGGAAGACGAGCCACATTAGCAGAGAGATTGAGCAGCCAAGACTGTCTTCTCTGCGTGCATGCAAGGTGGAATCTGTGGAAGAAGAAGACATAATTCAAGAAAGGTCCACCTTTGAGAGGCGAGTAGCCTCGTTCCGATGGTGGCCAAGGCACGGTGGCTGGACCGCCAAACCTTGGCCCTCAGTAGTACCAGCTTGGAGTTGTTAGGGATGGAGCAGGGTCATCCGCAGGGGTTCATCAGCCCTGCTGAAACCCACAGCCTCATAACACACAAGCTTCCACTGAGGGCTGGGTGGTGGCTGTGCACGAAGTGCATTGGCTGGGAATTGAACCTGGGTCTCCCGCCATGGAAGACAGAAACGTTCTACCACCAGCCCACAGCCAGTGCTCACCCATCTGGCGCTTCATTCGCAGTGGGGTAAGCAGGGCTGCCATCTCAGTTTAAAGTTCTGGCTTAAGTGTGGCCTCTTCCCTTAATGGGCACAGCTCAGCCCAAGCTCGGACGT